AAATTATTATTAAAAACACTTAAACCTTAAAAACAATTTACTGAATAATAAATACCTATCTAGCTAGGTATTTAATATATATTTAATATATATTATATTATATTATATTATATATATATTTAATATAACAGCGGTTGGTCACTTGGCCGTTTTAAATTATCGCGGTGCCTTGGCCGTGGAACTAGAACGATAACAATAATAGAATATCATTATCTTTGACCTTATCACACGAGTCTTATCACGACAATGGTTTGCATTGTGCGGTCTCCCGTAAACAAATTTCCCTTTCCGGTCGCCGACCCACCCATCTCCCACCCACCGACGAGCTAAGCCGTTGTCATCATCACCATCATCGTCGTCTATAATAATAATAATAATAATAATAATAATAATAACATTATGAGTGACTCCCGGGGGTCAACGAGTGTGTAGTTGATAACGCGTTGATTTGTCCGACACAATCCCGGATCAGACGGTCTGATGGTCCACTCTACCCGTCCGTTCGGCGTCGTTCGTAATTCGTAATAGTGCCTCCRTACGATACGTCGCGCGCGCCTGACTTACCCCATACCTGGTCATTACAACTATACCTACCTAGGTCGTGGAGCGATTTTCATTCACRTTCCGGCTCACGTCCGACGACCAAACCGGCGATGGCGTCCTGTTCGTTTGACGTTTCCGACGGCGTCGGTGGACGCATCCGTCACGCGGGTCGCCGGTGTCCCGTCTCGTCGGCGTGATAGTCCTCTCACTCACCTGTGCGTCGCCGATCGACGTTCGCGGACACGGCACGATGGATTGTGCGTCGACGCTGTACTCGCATCGCAACAACGGGCTGATGACCAGGTCGCTGGAGAAGCTCTTGGAGGACGCGCATCTGTGCGGCGAATTGAAACTCGGTGGGCGCAAGCTAAAGGAATTCCCGGTGACGAATAAATACGATTTGTCTGACACGACCATTGCGGGTAAGAACCGGTTATTGTTTGTCATCATGTTCACACCCGTCGCCGTCTGACCCTAATGTCATCAAAATCGTTTCACCAATCCTTTCAATGCCCACCACTGTAATCGTCGCTTGTTTATTTTCAGATCTCTCTAAGAATTGCTTCACACACTTTCCAGCCGAAGTAATTAAATTTTGGTCATTAGAATCTCTAAACCTGTATCATAATGCTATACGATCAATACCCAACACAGTCACATCTCTTCAATCATTGGTGCATCTTGATCTCAGGTTGGTGGTCATCAAAAGTTGTTGGTATCTTATGATTTATAACAATAGTTATTATTATTATTATCTAGGTAGTTCATTTTTATGAGTCATAGGTTTTTACTCTAAGAATGTTTAAAAAATAAATTTATTTTATTTTATTCTGTTTGTGAGTTGCATCTTCTTTCTAATATTGATTGGTAAACAAATAACACTTGAATTTACAAACAAACATACAATCGAGTACTATTAGATGGTAATCATTATTGTCTTTATTTTTAATACTATTTGTCTTCATTTACTACATTCATGTCTCATCATTTAATATTAAAATCCATAAAATTTATTTTGTTTTCTGCCTTAAATATTTTGACGACAACTTAATTATCTATTTATCAAAATACACAATTTTCACCTAGTGTCAAAATATGAGCATATATTATTTCAAAATTTTTACTCTCATAATTATAGAATATGTTTGTTATTTACTTAAATGTAATAMCCTACCAGGTAGTTATGTATACCAGGTAGTTACCTTACATAATAATATCAAAATATTAATATAATTTTTATGCAATGTAATGTCCTTGATCTTCTAACACTAAGGTATTGTTTACTTTGATTAACATTTTTAATTACACTTATGTAACCCATCACATAGTTTTAAATGTAAACCATACATAGGTATAAGAAATAATATCAACTAACAGTACAACATAAAACTATCATAAATATATTAATAGAAAACACTCAAAATAATCAAATTAATAATGGTACCCGATAGTAATGTAAAATAAATATGTTATCCAGGCATTTAGATATTTTTTATTTGTTAATAGGTAGCCATGAGTAGTATGATTTATTTGAATCTCTACCTGYTACATATAGAAATGTATGTGTATTCATACAGATGTTATCTTTTTTTACAGTCAGAACCGTTTAACATGTCTACCAGCAGCTATATGTCAGTTACCTCTTGAAATCCTATTATTGTCCAATAACAAACTTAGACAATTACCCACCGAAATTGGATTTTGCAAAACTCTTATCGAGTTAGACGTAAGCTGTAATGTGCTTATTAATTTACCACCACAGTTGGGTCAACTGTCCTCATTAAAATGTTTAAATGCACAAAATAATCTACTTATTGAGTTACCATTAGGTAAGTAAAACATGATAACAATAATTTCTAATATTTTGTAGTTAAATAAAAATACCCTGTTAAAAAAAAAAATTAAATCTAATTTATTAGTCCTTAAATATTTTTAACCAAGTAAAATAATTAATGYGTACAATTTATATCAGTATACTTATACTTGTAACAATTTGAATTGTTGAACTATTATTCATCCAGAAAAATAAAATAAAAAGCATTTAAAATATCGTAACAAAATATTATATAACATAAAGTTCAAACTTAAATAAGTTCAAAAATGAAATGTTGAGATTTTTACAGAATTAACATGTATAAAATTAGCAAGATTGAATGTCAGTTTGAACCGAATAGCATCATTACCTGTTGAAATGCGATTAATGTCTTGTTTGGAATGTTTGGATGTAGCCAATAACCCTTTGGTTTCCCCTCCAACTGCTGTAAGAGTGTATATTAATAATTAGTTTAACAACACCATAAATTATATTTTGAATATTATGTTTGACAATTTGTAAATTTCATAGGTTTGTATTAAGGGCCGTATTCATATATTTAAATGGTTGGAATTGAAAAGCATTAAAGAAGGCCGAAATCGAGGATCATCGTGGAAGTTCAACTCTCTAAAGAGCAATAATCATAGTTTAGACAGTAATATGGACAGTCTGACATTATCTGAAACAACTAGTCTTGTACATTCTTCGGATGAAGTACTTACAGTTTTAACTTATTGGCTTACAATCTATTGTTATTGATTACTAAATTATATTTTTAGGGTGCAAATGGAAGCATGGAATATTTGAACAAATCTGATAGAAAACATAGGGAAACGAACAGATACAATAACAATGCAAGGTATTGTAACATATTAACATATTCATGTGATTATTTTTAACAGTTTTAATTATAGCCCCGAAATTATACATGTCAGTAAAAGCAACGGTAATATGTCAACAAATTCAAACAAAATATACTCTAGCAATAATAATGGTGTCAAGTTAAATGATAAACAAACACATCACACACAAAGCTATAGGTAAGTAATACTGTTAAAAGCATGTTATATTATCCTCATGTATTGTCTCTGTCTTACAAGTGGGTAACAAAGCAAATTTTACGCTCAGCAGATTTCGCTCAGCTCCATCAGTTTAAAAACTAGAATGGATTAAGTGAATTGACCTATTCATCAAACTTCAGAAAAGTCAGAAAATTATCTGTGCTTAAGCGTTGGTTTTTATTCAATGGTATTTTAATTTTCAATTGAGATATGAGCGTTTTTAATTCATGTTATATCTCATATCCATATATTGAAAATTAAAAATTAAAAAAATCACTAACGCTTAATCACAGATAATGTTCTTACCTAAAAGATTGGTAATTTTTCAATTTATTCTATCATCAGATCTAACAGCACACTATTGAAACTAGTGAATACAAATTTGAATGTTGACAATTTATAAGACGGAAACAACAAACATACAGGCTGCATACTTTCAATGCTTCATACTATGTTCAATAAATATCTTATTTATTTTATAGAGAATACAAAGAGTTCCTTAAACAACAACGTGCCCAAGAATCTATTTATAAAGGAAAAGTTCCAAACTCCGAAATTATTTATGATCAAAAGGTTATGTCAACTCTCAAAATATCATGAAAATGTTCCTTTTAATTTTTTTTTTTTTGTCATTTTATAAACAGGATATCCGCCCATACACTAAACCAAGTACACCTGACATTGTATCAACTCCAGTCAATAATTTATCATTGCCAATGCCGTCAAATCCTAGTAGTCCTAATGTTTGGTCTAAGAATAACACACAAACCACTAAAAATAAGCTTCAGTTTACAATGAAACGGGAGTACGATAAAGCAAGAGAAGAGGCAGAACTTGTGAAACAACTACGAAATGTTGGTGTTTGTATTCAAGAATTAATTATTTGATTTCAGATTAAAATACATTTTTTTTTTAGACTATTGAATCACGTTTAAAAATGTCTCTACCAAGTGAACTGTCACCGGCACTTAATGATGGAGTTGTGCTTTGTTACTTAGCAAACCACGTCAAACCTAGATCTGTAGCTAGCATTCATGTACCTTCACCAGCTGTGGTAAACATAAATTAAATTAAATTCTAAAATGTATATAATATWATTTATTTTGATATTGATCTAATATATTTAATAACTTACAGCCTAAACTTACTATGGCTCGATGTAGACGAAATGTTGATAATTTTTTGGAAGCGTGCCGTAAAATTGGTGTGAATGAAGTAAGTAATTGCTAATTAATTTGTTATAAGTATAACACATACGCTTGTATTACACACATACATACTAAATGCCAAATTTTCTTTCACTAGTATCAATAGTGTGATGTTAGTTTTGATATTAGTGTGAATTGACCTCTTAACAAACTTTAAGGTAAGAACATTATCTGTGTTCTCTTATTGGGAGTCTTATGATATTTTAATTTTTAAATGAGTTGTGAGTAAGTAAAGTATAGTAAACCTTTGATAATATTAACAATTTCCTCAGTCCTGATTAAAATGCAATATGAATGAGCCCTCCGTCAAGTCGGAAATTCTATTAAGGTGGAAAAATTGTATGGCTCTACTGCAAATTCTGTCTTAGCAAGGTTTTACGCTATAAGTATTTGAAAATGCACATAACTCATTTTAAAATTAAAATATTGTAATAAACCAATGAGAAAACACATAATGTTCTTACCGCGAAGTTTGATAATAGGCCAATTTCCTCTAATATCAAAACTAATAGCACACTACTGAAACTATTAAACAAAGATTTGGTATGTGGTACATGATATAGATAGAGATACATACAAGTACGACGTCGTCTTATTAATGTATAGTGTAAGAAATATAATTTAAATTGTAAGCAAAAAGTATTAATTTTTWAACAACAATGCTTAAATTTTTCTAGAAACTGATTTGTTGTGCTGTTGATATTCTGGAGGGTAAAGGAATTGTTCAAGTTGCCATCACCGTGGCTGAACTTTTGAAATTCCATACAACRAAAACACAATCACAAACCGTACATGTGCCATCACTTTTAAATGTATAAAACCAAAACTAATGGAAACAATCTATAAATGAAGAAAATGTGACTGACTGTTATGCTCATAAATGAAATGCTAATGTGGCATTAAGACTGTTTTAATTCACCTGTTAAGCCTGTGAAAATCCTCAGAAATTTCATTATGAGGCTAAGTTAATTTTATATATTTTTTATAATCAAAACTATATCAATCAATTAAAACTCAAGTTTAGTGTATACTACTTAACATTTTTTTCCGAGCRTATATTTAGTGTTAATTTATTTTTGTCATTTTATTGATGACATAAGTTATTTATTTATTTATTCTAAACTTCCTATAGAGCCTGTGTTAACAAATAAAGTTTCGCCATTCCTAAATAAATTGGCTGTACGTTATTATAGTTAAGCTATTGTTTTTATTTTGCATTTTACTTTTAAATTTTATTTTACTACATTAATTTTTTTCTTATTTTTTTTTTCATCAATTAAATTTATTTAATTTATATGTTTTGTATAATTATATTTTAAGTTTTGTAATAAAATGGTATACCTACTAGTTAATCTAAGACTTTCAAGTTTGTATACTTAAAACAGAAAGTATGAATTCATCTTAGGYAATTTAATATAATATGCATCAGTATAAAACAATATCAATATGTAAGCATAATTTCATTACTTTTCCAAAAACGTTTATTCAGATATTTATTTCAAACTGATTTCCAAAATTAACTTTAATGTTATTAGAATTTAAGTATCAAATAAACATTAATTTTTCAGAAAATTATAATTAGCTTTAAGCATTAATACATGTTTAATACAAAATTTTAGTGCCTATTAATAATAAAAAAATTACAATTTTTAAAATATTTTGTGTTGTATTGATTTAAATATTTTTTGAGTGCAGTCACTGTTACAGTTGGAATATTTTCTCTAAGCTTTGTATTATAGATATATTTGAATAGTTAATCCKTGAATTGGATAAACACCATAAAATATTTGATACCTTTGCTGCTATCATGAGCTTGTATTTTTTGTTCAATTGAAAAATTAAATTTTAGTTGTTATTGAGCGCTAGATATATTATATTACCATCATGTAGTGTAAATAATTGTTGAGTTAGTAAATTCTAACATAACCCCAACCTCTATCTAATTAATTTGGATCCCTATAATTTTTAAATATTTGTAGATTAGTACCTTTTTAGACCTTATCGTACCAAGTTTTAACTCTTAAATTCTTCATTGTATAATGTACTGRTATGTACCTGCTTCAAAACTTAATTAAAAATTGAAATTAAATTAAGAAAATATTTAGGTAATGTTTAACAAAGTTTATTAAGTTAAAATTTGTAGCCAGTAAATATTAAGCCAATAATAATTATGTGTCAACATAGAAAACTAGATTAAGATATGATATACTCGTAATATATGAGATAAAAAAATACAGAAAGTGGTTCATCAGCAGTTATCGCTTAACTCAGTCTGTATAGAACACCAGTGTCAATATTGCGAATTGTGTAATTTATATTTTATTATAATAATTATTATTTATTGTATAGTATATATTGATTGTAATCAGCATACACAACACCATAATCTTTCAGAATAAAAGAAATTTACGCCATTAAGAAARGACCACATACAATATGARTACTCACTACTCACACAAATGTTGAATTGATGTATTGCAATATTTTACAAGTTTTTTGACTACTTAATCTACTGTATAATAATTTATGTACAATGTCCATTTGTTATTTGCAGTGAAATCTAACTGAAGATTGAATAAATACAAATAGAACTTCCAGCTCATACAAGTGGTAGGAACAAGCAACAAGCAAATGTGTTTTCTGTTGAAAATTACCATATTTTTACATACATACCTTCTCAATATACTCTACACATAAATTAAGGGGATTTTATACCGTTTTCTCTTTGTTTAATGCACACATGACAAGATTTTAGACATATTCTTTGCCAAACATACCGTTTCACCTAATGTAGCGATAAAAATTCTATAACAGATTTGAATTTATTGTAAAGACTACTTGAGATTGACTTTCCCTCAGTTTTGATACAAACATTATAATCATTATATTTCTTAAAATGTATACTTAAAAATATAAATTTTTGAATTTTTAGAACTGTTAAAATCAAAAAATCAAAAATGTGGAAAAGTCAATTTCTCAAGTAATCTTAACAAAAAATTCAAATCTGTTTTCAGAATTATTATTTATTACTGCTTCACTATACTAATCGGAACTTTTAGAAAATAACATGGCTAAAATGTAGCTATGTAGCGCATGTGTTAGATAAAGACAGAAAATCACGTTATCAATCCCCTTAAAGTTATAATTAAAAATAGAAATATGTACTCAAGTGGAAAAAAAAATATTCATATTATATTATTTACACATTAATTTGTTTACTACGAAATCCAAGAAGCAAGTAAGTTATTAATATAGGTATAATATTGTATAGTGTCTGAATTTAAAAGTTGTAAATCTAGAGGACGTTATACTTACTAACATTTGTTGTTTCAAAATTTGTCATTTTGTTGCATCCTATTTTGAAAGGGTTGCAAAGGGGGTAATTTCTGAACAAAATCAGAAAATGTTTTCTCTCATATTACCTATCCTTATATAACTTTGAATAGTACCTGCAATCACGATTCACGATACCGTGTGTTCTATTTTAAATGCGGCACTGCATACAGTGCGCCGTAACCGCACTGCATTGGTGTAAGCCGGGCCTAAATCATCATACATTTCACTCAATACCTAACAATAACTGTTTTTTCACTTCAGCGGCTTTGTGTATTATTCTTTTTCAATTCATTGGTCAATTATGTGAATCCGTCTATACATAAAATAGCATAATAACTATTATAACAAGAATTGGAATTCAGCTTCAATCAGGGAAGGTCTCACACCATAAGCTCTAAAATCCTAAATATTAGCATTTTTTTTTCCTAAATATTTAATTTAGTAATCAATGTTAATATAAGTGTGAGAGTGAGATCAGTATTAAATGCTCTTAACAAGTGTTTTAGATTCTGGAAGAAGTGATGAATGTATTGATTTTACAATGATGTGTGTTTTTTTTTTGTGTCTGTCTGTGTACATTGTGTACAACATAACTAGTCGAAATAATGCTTCAATTTCAAACTTTGGGGGTGGTTTCTGATGTAAAAGTGAATATCCTTGGTGCATTATAGAGGTCAAAAGTTAACATTTTCAAACAGTTTTCAAAAAAATCGAGAAAAACAAAACAAAAATGACAGAAAAACTGCAGGAATTTTTATGCAAAACCAGTTTTCGACCAAATC